TTTTTTTTTTTTTTGTCTCCTGATTGAATCAAAACCCATTTTTCTGCATTGTCTGGTGGTTCTAAAGTTTGAATCTTCCTTCAGTTCCTCTGTTTTCTCATTGATTTCTAAGTTCTCTTATTCAGAACTCCACGTGTTTGTGCTTTTGCCTGATTAAAGCAAAACCCGTGTGCCTGCATTGTCTGAAATCTGAATCAAAAGATAACTTTCTGCTTTTCTTATTCGGAAATCGGAAATCCAATGTTTGTGTTTTTGTCTGATTAAGGCAAAACCCTGTTTCTGCATTCTTTAGTGATTGTAAAGTTTGAATCTTTGATGGATCTTGTGAGTAAGGGTATCACGATCCATGACTCTGGTGCTCTGGCGCCGGTGGTGAATCCGGCCGGGGACACAATCTTTGGGAAGCCTTTGCATTCATCGGATACTACCAGTTTTCCTATTATCGCCATTGCCATAATCGGGATTTTGGCCACGGCGTTCTTGCTGGTCAGCTACTACATCTTCGTTATCAAGTGCTGCCTCAACTGGCACCGGATTGACCTTCTCCGGCGATTTTCTCTGTCTCGGCGCAGACGGCATGAAGACCCATTAATCTGGAATGCTCCGGCAGTGGAACACCGGGGACTTGATGAATCTGTGATAAGATCAATCCCTATTTTTCAGTTCAAGAAAAGTGAGAATGGAAAAGATTTTGGGGAAAGAAGTTTCTGCGAATGTGCAGTTTGCTTGAATGAGTTTCAAGAAGAGGAGAAGCTCAGAAGAATCCCAAACTGCGGCCATGTTTTCCATATCGATTGCATTGATGTCTGGCTTCAAAATAACGCCAATTGCCCTCTTTGTAGAACAAGCATTTCAAGCACTACTCGATTGCCTCCGGATCAGATTATTGCCCCAAGTTCCACCCCACAAGAACCCAATCCAACGTTCTCCGGTAATCTTGCCACCGGAGATGAGGACTACGTTGTGATTGAATTGGGCAATATTCAGAATTCCACCGATCAGACGTTGCTTGGGGCACAAGAAAGATTGAACTCAGGGGAACTTCCGGTGACAAGGACAATTACTCCTTCGAGGAAGTTGGAGCAGAGAATTGTGCACAAAAGAGCCAGAAAGTTTCATAAAGTCACAAGCATGGGAGATGAATGTATTGATATAAGAGACAAGGATGACCAGTTTGCCATTGAACCCATAAGGAGATCTTTCTCAATGGATTCCTCCACGGATCGGCAGCTGTTTCTAGCTGTTCAAGTGGCTGTTCAACAGAGCAGACATATCTCTGAGGTTAGTCCCATTGAAGGAAGCAGCAACAGAGTGAGGAGATCATTCTTTTCATTTGGTCACGGTAGAGGATCAAGAAATGCAGTTTTGTCCCTTCATTTGGAACCATGGAAAGCATAGCTTTGTAGAGGATGATTGTAGATGTGATTAGAGTTTGTGAAAATAGATTTAGTTCAAATGAACTTTGGAAGCATTGTTTCATTTGATTCGTTTGTGTCCATAATGAATTAAATTTAGCTCTTTGTCTCTCTTTTGAAAGGTATATGAGAAGAAATTTACTCCATTTTTATTGATTTAGAAGGTAGACGGGGGCGCTCTTCTTTTTTTTTTTTTTTTTTTGAAAATAGCCAATGGAAAGGCGCTCTTCAATTGGGACAGAATTTCTATGCTACCAACTTATTTTTGTTTATAATGGCGGGTTGGTGAAGGAGGGAATTAGGGATGGCAATTTTCTCTGCGATCCACAGAACTTCACGGAGATCCTCGTCATAGGAATGGAGATTTCAAGAATATTCCTTCCCGTGGGGCGGGGATAGAGACAATTTTTTTCTTGTGAAATTTCGCGGGAAATTTCCTCCACCTCGTGGAAAACCGTGAGGATCCATAAAAAATAAAAAATATATATATATATTTTTTGTATATATGTTAGCAATTAATTTTTACTTACCCAATCTAATTAGCTAACCTAATACCAACATAACTTAAATTTCACAACCCATTATTTTTTCAATTTTTCTAAACCCAATTGTCAGGCCAACCATTTCTTCTTTTTTTTTTTTTTGTCAATCTAAAATTCCTAAACCTAATTGCGCAGCCTAATTTACAGCCCAATTTACATAACCCTAGAAGCAGAAGGACAATCCAATTATCCAAAGATTTCAGTCTCTTTGCTTGCTGCTTGTGAATTGTGATTCCTTTCTCTAGTCAGTCTCCTCTCCTCTGCCACGCACACTCTGTGCTGTAACTCTTGCTCAATCCTCTCTGTCCTCATCTCAACTATGAATCTGTGATTGCTTTCAAGCTCTCAACCTCTCACCATGTCGTCACTACAACCACTGCAACGCTTACCGCTCACCATCGCTCACTACTCACCTCCAGCTCCAAGGTTGGGTCATCCTTTTTCTATTGTCACATGGCCATCTCAACTGTGATTCAGTGATTCCCTTCAAGCTTTCAGCCTCTCACCGTGCCATCACTACAACCCCTGCAACACTCACCGCTCACCTCCAGCTCCAAGGTTGGGTCGTCCTTTTTCTGCTGTCGCGTGACCTCTTCCTCTGCAACTCTGCCTCAGATTCTTTTCAAACTCTCTAACTCCAAGTATCAATTAGATGTAGTTTTTAAAGCTACAGTTTTTGTGCTTTAGTGCTTTAGTGTTTCTAACTAGTAATTTCGCGTTTTTAACTAGTAATTTTTAATTTAATTTTTTTGATTTAGTGCTCTAGTGTTTTTAACTAGTAATTTTAGTGTTCTATCTAGTAATTTCTAATTTAATTTTTGTGCTTTAGTGCTTTGTGCTTTAGTGTTTCTAACTAGTAATTTCTAATTTAATTCATTCTTAGGTATCAATTAGCCAATGTCTTCACAAGAGCCTAGCCCCCCATCGATTAAAATTCCAAATGAATCAAGTGCAAGTATTATACCGAGTGTTGCTGCTCCACCAACTTCATCCTCGGCTATGGTTCCTCTTGCATTAGAAAGTGGTGAGGATAAAAAAGATGATCAAGGCCATAAGCGGCCACTTACTTCTAAAGCATGGAACCATTATAGGAGGAAAAAAATTAATGAGCATCGGAAAGCAATTTGTGTCTATTGCAATAAACATCTGGAGGTGAGACCAGGAATGGGACAAGTCACTTGCGTGATCACACTCGGGTCTGTCCATTGAAATCTGCTTCTAACATAAGGCAAACATTTTTGAGAGCTTCAAAGAATCAAGAAGGGAAAACAGAACTTGGGCATGGACTTTTCAATCAAGAGATTGCTAGAAGGGAACTTGCATATATGATAATTGCGCATGAGTTACCTCTATTAACTGTTGATCATATTTTCTTTAAAAGGTTTGTTGCTGCTCTTCAACCAAGGTTCAAGTATGTTTCGAGAAACACAATCAAGAAGATAACATGGGCGTCTATCGTAATAAAAAGCCTAAAACAATGAAGTTGTTGGAGGCCAATCAAAGTAGAATTGCCATCACAACTGACATGTGGACTTCAAATAATCAAAAGAGAGGTTTTATGGTCATCACAGCACATTATATTGATAATTTATGGATGTTGCAAAATCGAATTATCAGGTGATATTTTGTTATTTTTGTTCTGATTTTTTTAAATATATATTTATGTTTATGAGTTTAGAAAATTTAGTGTAATTCTTTCTATTGTTTTTTACAGTTTTCAATGTGTGCCTTGTCCACATACTTCTAAGGTACTTGCAAAGACTTTGTTAGATTGTTTGATGGATTGGAATATTGATTGGAAATTGTCTACTATCACAGTAGATAATTGTTCTACTAATGATGCCATGGTAAATGCGTTGTTAGGAAAAGTTTTTGATGATTCATTATGGGTAGAAGGAACCTTGGTACATATGCATTGTTCTGCACATATTTTGAACTTAATTGTCAAAGATGGGTTAGAGGTAATTGTTGATGGAATTGAGAGGGTTAGAGATAGTGTTGCTTTTTGGACATCAACACCAAAAAGAGAGGAGAAATTTGAAGAAATGGCTAAACAATTGAAAATTGTTTTTTCAAAAAAATTAATTCTTGATTGTAAGACTAGATGGAATTTAACCTATTCAATGCTTCATGTGCCTTTATATTATAAAGATGTTTTCTCTCATTTGAAACAAAGGGACTCACAATATAAATATTCACCATTAGAGGAGGATTGGGAAATGATCAGGGAGATTTTTAGTAGGTTGACGTTGTTTTATAAAATCACTGAGTTGTTTTCAAGAAATAAATATCCTACTGCTAATATTTTATTCCCAAATATCTGTGAAATTAAATTGCATTGATGACATGGTTGACTTGTGGAATGCTGTTATAGAAACAATGGCAGAAAAAATGCTTGATAAATTTAACAAGTATTGGAGTGAGGTTTATGGTATTATGGCTTTAGCAATTGTTTTAGATTCTAAATACAAAATGGAGTTGGTAGAGTTTTATTTTATTGAAATTTATGGAGATAGAACTAAAGGGGAAATGCAAAAAGTTTTGAGGCTTTGTTATGATTTGATTGATAGATATCAATCTAAAACTTCCCAAAATGAGAGGTGTGTGCAAGTGTCTAGCCATGCTCCACCAGTGGCTGCCTCATCTTCCTCTATGATTGGCAATAAAAATTTTGTTGAAAAATTTAAAACATTTCTTACTTCAAAAGGTAGTGCACCAGCTATGGAATCAAAGTTAGATGCTTATTTAGAGGAAAAGGTGGTTCCATTTGAGGTAGAAGAAACTCTTGATATTCTGAATTGGTGGAAAATTCATGGGACTAGGTTTTCTATATTGCAAATGCTTGCTAAAGATGTGTTTGCCATTCCCATATCCACTGTACCTTCAAAATCAGCTTTTAGTATTAGTAGAAGAGTTATTAGTCCACATCAGAGCAAGCTTAGACCAAATACAATATAGGCACTGATGTGTCTTCAAGATTGGTTGAAGAAAAGATCTGAAAAGTATTAAATTAAGGTTATATTTCTCTTATTTTGTTATTTTTGAATTTGTATTCTAAACTTTTATTATGTTTGAAATTCAAGCTCTGACAATAATGGGAATTTCTTCAATCTATTTGATGAGTTGGAGGAGAATGATAATGAGGATGATTAGTCTAAGGTAAATTTTAAACAATAATGTTTCTTTATATAAATTATTATATGAATTTTTTTAAAATTTTTTTTTGTTAATTTGGGGTATTTGTTTTTGTTTCAGGAAGTTATTTCCTTAACTTGAAATTATTGATCAAGCTTAGCTTAAGTTGTTGCTGTAGAGTTTGCCTTGCTGGATTGGATGGATATGTATGCATGTGCCACTTCCTAGACTCTTTTATGTGCTTTTTCTTAATGAATTTATTGTTGGACATGTATGGCAGTAGTTTATGCTCTCTTTTTTTCTATCAACTTTGCTGAATCTAGACATATATGACAGTTGCAATTTATGCTTTTATTTTTTATAAACCTTTTGTTTGATTTGCTGGATTTATATGGCAATTTATGCCTTTTTTCTTTATGAAATATGAACTTGTTGCTTGCTTGCTTGTTGGACTTGACACGTATATTTGGTTGTGTTATTGTGTATATTTACTGCTTGTTTATCTTGTTTCAAAATTTTACTTTATATGATTATTTGAGTTAGTTTTATTTAATGAATGTGAAAACCAGTGGAGTCTAAGTAGAGCCATGTTGAGCTTAATTTTGATTAACAAGTAATGAAAATTTTGATTAACAAGCAGTGGAATGTGTGATAGTTTTATTTGACAGGGACTCTGAATACCCACGGAGACTTATTATTTCCCATGGGTATATGGACGAAGGTAAATTTTTACTTTCTGCCAAAAATCCCCACGGGATTCTTATACCTGCCATTGGCAGGAATGAGGATGAGGAGGGGTCCCCACCCCATGGGGACCGTTGCCATCCCTAGAGAGAATGTAAAACACCAGAAGTTTGGTCACTACAATTATAAAAAGCAATGAAGAAATGGCAGGAGAAATGGGTAGAATCCATAACTACCAACTTTCTAATGCTAACAATTTTTAATGTTGGTGAAGGTAGGAAAAATAAATATGATTTGGTATTGCACGTTATCCTCCATAAGTACACCATTTTTCCAGCTTGTAAGAGTCACCCAATTAGTTCTAAAATTGAGGTAATTGAATTTAGGAAGTTAATATCTGAAAAAAAACCCTTTCAAATGCACTTCATGAACTGATGGTTTTATACCTCATCAGAGGATATTAAAGTTGCAGTTTGAAACCTCCCTTCTCGAATTATTATCAATTCAAAAAAAAAAAAAAAAAAA